TTGACAAGAAAAAATGTCATCAATCAAAATTGCGAGACCGTAGGTCGAGCGATTTTGTCAGATGACATTTTTTTGAGTCAATTTGCTAAAAGGTAATAAGTTTGAAAGTTAGAAAACATAAATTTATCCTGCCAGAAAAAAAAGCTCGAGTGTAATTCGACGAGATAATTTTGTGATTAATTGATGATTAAGTCTCTTTTTTAAATTTAATTTAAATGAACAATTAGTAAATAAACAATTATTATAAATAATTCTGGATGTAGAGGTAGAAGATAGCTCCAGTGTATTATTTTCTTCAATAAAATCTGTAATGCTTGCATTTTGAATGTTGTTTTTATTGTTTGACTGACAGGCAATTTTCATATCATTTCGTAAATTTGAAACTATTTCTTTATGATGTGTTGCATCTATTTGTAAATATGGTTTTAAAGAATTGCTATTAGAATGGCCAGTTAATTTAATGAGTTGTTGGTCGCTTACTCCCGCTTTAGCTAATTCGGATACAGTACTGGCACGGTTTGAATGGTTTGTTATTTTGATCTTTTTTGTGTCGAGTCCAATTGCAGTTGCTGAGATTTGCGTCCATTTTGAGATTATGTTTTTACCCAAGGGCATGTTTTTGTACCAACCTTTAGAATTTTGTTTATTCCAAAATGGATTTGGAGTAAGAAACATACGATCTGATGTTATGTACCTATTTAGATCTTTTTTCCAGAAGAACTTTAAATATTCTTACTGGACAAATGCTTGGATCTTCCTCATTTTTTAAAATCCATTTACTGTCAGTTAATCTTTTAGATCCTCCTTAATTGTGCAGTCTTAGAAAACACTGGATTGTATTCAATTCTGCCTGTGAGCATCCCATCGTTGGTTTTTTCTTCACTAAAATAATACAACATGCATGCTGCTGCTTCTCCACCTCTCCATGCTAACTCGTAAGAAACAATATGGAAGAATCTTTTTTGTAAACCTTCTGGTTCATTTCCTTTCCATATCTTAGCCATTTTTATAATTTTCTCTTTTGTGAGAGCATTTGAACTTTTTCTGCTTTCCGGAATTCTTTGTAACTCCTTTCTTTTTGCATTTCTAGCATCACGGGCCTCTTTGAATACAATATCGGAAAATGGAATAATTTTGATATTAAAATCTTGATAGTATTTCTCTTGAAGCATTTTTGCCGTTGAGTTCCACATAGTTTTGATAACGTATTCCTTATAATCATCTCCATTATTTTTTTTCATATTGTATGCCCAATCAAGCAAAATATTTGCTAAGTCTTGCTGTGATGTTGAGTCGAGTAGTTTGTAATTCCTCGCATTACAAAATGCCATAAATTGTCGCCAAATTGACGCTTTATTATTTAAAGTGTTATTTGGGATACTATTTACAATTTGTTCTTTAATTTTTTTGTCGGACACGACACCAAAACGATTCATTTTAAAAGATTTTTTGACAACTGGTATTAAAAAATAATTATTTGCAAGGTTGTCAAGGAAATAAAATGACACGAGGTAAATAAATAATTATCCACTTGCAAAAAGTTACCTTCCTTTTTATCCGTTATCAAAGTGACTTAAATGTAATTCAACTACGACGTTTTCATGTAAGAAAAAAATTATCGACTATAATTACACAAGAGCTTATTTTTAGCCGGATAAATTTTTGTTTTCCTTAAAAGCTTGTTACCTAGCAATTTGACAAGAAAAAATGTCATCAATCAAAATTGCGAGACCGTAGGTCGAGCGATTTTGTCAGATGACATTTTTTCGAGTCAAATTGCTAAAAGGTAACAAGTTTGAAAGTTAGAAAACATAAATTTATCCTGCCAGAAAAAAAGCTCGAGTGTAATTCGACGAGATAATTTTGTGATTAATTTTTTTCTTATTGCATGCCCCATCAAGCAAAATATTTGCTAAATCTTGCTGTGATATTGAGTCGAGTAGTTTGTAATTCCTCGCATTACAAAATGCCATATATTGTCGCCAAATTGACGCTTTATTATTAAAGAATTATTTGGGATACTTTTTCCAATTTGTTCTTTATTGTTTTTCGCCGGAAACGACACCAAAACGATTAATTTTAAAAGATTTTTTGACACCTGCTATTAAAAAATAATTATTTGCAAGGTTGTCAAGGAAATGAAATGACACGAGGTAAATAAATAATTATCCACTTGCAAAAGTTACCTTCCTTTTTATCCGTTACCAAAGTGACTTAAATGCCATTCAACTACGACGTTTTCATGTAAGAAACAAATTATCGTATATAATACCACTAGTGGTAAAATTTTACCGATAAAATTTTTGATTTTTATACGAATGTTTTTTTCTTGGAAATTTCGCAAGTGGCATTAATTTTTAAGACCACGAGCCGCTAGGCGAGTGGTTTGAAGTTAATGCCACGAGCGAAATTTCCAAGGAAAAATCTTGAGTAAATAAAAATCAAAAAATTTTTCAGGGAAAATTTTATCACGAGTGGTATTCGGCAAGACTATTTCACGAATATTTTTAACTGCTGATTCAATTTCTGTATGATTTTTTGGACCAAAACGCATATTTTTTAACATTTTAATTTTAAAATTAAAAACGTCAACAGTGACAATTATTTTTATCATAGCAACCAATTGGTTGTTATGCAACTCGTATAAACGAGTGGTTTTTTCACCTGAATAGTAGTTTTATCGCTGCAAAACTGAAAAAACCACTCGTTTTCTGAAATCTGATTGGTCCAAAAAGTAATGAGTGGAATAGTCGCTGTGATAAAATGCGTATTGGAATACTCGCATTTTATTGGTTCTAATTATAATGAATTGTATTGTCAATAAAAATTGTGGTATACTTAGGCTTCTTGATTTCTAACAGTTTATAAAAACATTTAATGATAACATTTCGAATGCGAATCCCTGTTAAAAATCACCCATAAAGACCAATAGAAAAGCTATTGGGATTTTCCAGCGGCAGCTCTATTGGTTTGAATTGGTCTCAATAGTGGTATCTGTACCATGAATTACCAATTCAAACCAATAGCGACACCGCTGGAAAATCCCAATACAGACCGATAGAGACTAATCGTATTTTATTGGTAATTCCCAATAGATATATTATAGATATATTTTATTGGTAATTCCCAATAGAGCTATTTGGATTTTCCAGAGGTACCGCTATTGGTTTGAATTGGTCCCCACTATCCATTTTAGACGTCTTTAAGGTAAAAAATTACGTGTTTTGATGGTTAAATAATTTCTCAAAAATAGTGCTGTTTAACATTTAATTTAAATTTTATAAATAGCTTCTGCTAAAAGTAAGTAGTGGGGCCCACTGCTTACTTTTCGCAGAGTGGGCCACAGGACGACCTCTGCCCCTTTAAAAATTCCAAAACGCCAGGCGTTTCCATGGCCAGTAATATTGCCTTAGTAAGGAATCCTTACTTAGCAGCTCAAGGCATTCCACCTTTATAGGCCTATGTATTGTGCTACAGAGGCGAGAGGTATGCATGGGTTGCATGCCTACCTATTGGCGAATTTTAAAAATAAATATTAAAGTGGTATATACCAATAGGGTTCCTTGTACCTATAGGTGTATACACACCGATAAAATACCAATTCAGACCATTAGTTTATCTATTGGTATTTTCCAGTAAGAAAATTGCCAATAGAAACAAGTGGTCATTTGTATTAAATTGCGCAGGCGCTGAACATTTAAGTGGTATTTACCAATTGAATTTCAATTGGGAATTTCCTGTACTTGTAACTTCTTATAAAAACCAATACAGACCATTAGGTAATCTATTGGCATTTTCCAGTACGGAAATTACCAATAGAAACCAATGCTCATTCTGTTGAGAAACCAATAGGCCCAATAGAGACCAATTCATTTCATTCTGATTTTTTATTGGTTTCTATTGGTCTCTATGGGTGATTTTTAACAGGGATATTTCAGAAACGGTTGAATTTAGGTATATGGTTTGTTATATGAATTATGCTCAGAATTTTACAAAGAATCAAAAAATAAATTCATATATAGGGTGATCCATTGTAAAAAAATAAACTTTTTGTTTTCCCTGTATATTGACCAATTTTCCATTTTGTTTTATACATAGAAAAGGGGTATTTTTAAGTACCTACATAACCACACTTTTAAATTTTTTGGGACACTTAAAATAAAAAAGTTAAAGGGGGGCGACATTATAGGGGATCACCCTGTACATGGTTATCTGTATTTTAGTTGTTATTAATAAAAATACGCGATCGCCCTTTGGCCAACACATAAAACCAATTCACAGACCTATATTGTCTTTCTGCGCAGTTTTATACGCAAAAATAAGAGCTTAAGTTAAAAATTATTTATCTTTAAGGCGAATTCATACTCACTTAAAATAAGAAATAAAATAATATATAGGTAATAAGGAATAAGAAATAAGGTCGCAATTGATCGTTCTTGCTGATAACATAAGAAATAAAATTGTTGTCACCATTAATTTGTAGGGGGTGTAATCAAAGTGTTCTTTTGGTGTAATGACGGCAGTTATCTGTATTTTAGTTGTTATTAATGAAAATCTACATCGACACAACACGATCGCCAACACCATGGCTCCAAGGCCTACATATAAAACCCATAAAACCAATTCAAAGACCTATTTTGTCCTTTTGCGCAGTTTTAAATGAAAAATAAGAACCAAAGTTAAAAGTTACTTATCTTAAGTCTTATTTATTATTTTTATGAACATGAACGAAACCATTACTTTACACAGTTTAAACTTTTTATCTTATTTCTTATTCTTACTTCTTATTTGAAGTGAGCATGAACATTCCTTGAAGTCTTAGGTATTGCTTATTTCTTAAGTTGTTTAAATATTATTTTTATTACAGGGTTACTCTTTCTAGGAACTAGCCAAAAACTTGCTTAGTTGTAAAGAGCTTTAAGCTCTTAACATTTATGCCCACCTCAAGAAACCTTGTTCTAGATAAAACATGACATCATTTGGGGTTTGGTTTTATTTACCTCGGATTTGTCGTTCCAATTGATAACCTTCTTTTCGTAGTTTATGATTCCATTCTGTAACCTACAAACACAATATTTGCAAATGTAACAATTAATATTTTTAATGACATACCATATCCTTTGGATTTCTTTCAGGAGTTTTTCCAAAAAGGCCCATTTTAAAATATTTTGATTCAAACGTCAAAATTTTTGACTCAAAAAGTATAACCACAAAACTAGTTTTGTGAGTATAACTGGGTGGGAAATAAAATCCCTAGATGGTATAGTAAATTTTCCCAGGACAGATGTCAGTGATGCCAAGCGTACGATAATTTAAGTTACATTACGATACACGATTCTTAAGAAATTTGTACTGGTACCATTACCTTTTTTTTAATATTATTGATATTGCGTTTTTATCATAAACCTTTTATCTAAAGTTTTTATACAATTGGGATTTTATTATACCCCTTTGTTTTAAAAAAACAAAATTTAATTTATAAGTTTTAACACTTTTATATTTTATATTATTATATTTATATTTTATAAGTTGCAACACTTTTACTTGATTAAACTTTCAGTGCACAGTGGGTATTTTAAATTTATGTTTTTTTTAAATTTTAGAGAGTAATGGGTCCATAGGTTATAACCTTAATTATGTAAACCTCTTATTCATCTTTATTAAAGAATCAAATTTAAATATTTTAATAAATTTAAATATTTAAAATTGGCGCCATTGATATCACACGCATACTACTTTGCGCAGGAAGTCGTCCATCTTCTTTTCATTTGCACCGGTCAAGAAGTACATGTGCTTCATAAAAGCGGTTAATTATATTTAAACACAGATAAGCTGGTAGTTACATAGTGTTGTGCTTCTGACAGTGATTTACTGAATATACACAAAAATGAATTCCGAAAAATTAAAGAAACTGCAGTCCCAAGTAAGGATTGGCGGTAAAGGCACCCCCAGGCGCAAGAAGAAGGTTGTACACTCTACCCAAGCTACTGATGATAAAAAGTTACAATCCTCCCTAAAAAAATTATCCGTCAACACGATACCTGGAATTGAAGAAGTAAACATGATCAAGGATGATGGCACAGTAATTCATTTTAACAACCCAAAAGCTCAAGCCTCATTAGCAGCAAATACATTTGCAATCACTGGACATGGAGAAAACAAACAAATTACAGAAATGCTACCAGGCATTTTAAGCCAGTTAGGGCCAGAAGGTATTACACAGTTGAAACGCTTGGCAAGTTCAGTGGCCAATGCTGGAGTCAACAAAATGACTCCGGAAGATGAAGAAGATGTACCAGATCTAGTGGAAAACTTTGATGAAGCTTCCAAGGCTGAAGTTGCCAAGAAAGATGGTGATGATAAACCAAAAGAAAACTAAGTTATTTAGGCTTTAACATATAAACCTTGAGGGTGCTAGTTACTCCTCATAATTTTACTTTTGGAGAACACTGTTATTATGTGTAATAAAAACCAAAACTTTTTGTTAAAATTAGACAACCCCTGTGTATAGAATATTTCTTATAAAATATATAAATATTCTAATTATGTCTTATTAAATTTTAAACCTACCACTTCTCTATTCTTTTTTATGATGTATTAAATTATTCTGGTAATCAATTTAACAAAACAAATATTTTCATATACAGGGTGTTCCAAAAGTCAACGATTTTTATGAATTTTGTGAAACTTGACACATAAAATCAGTTTTTCGTGTGCCACAACTACAACATTCTATATTTTATATATTTTATTTTGCATAACCCTGAATAGGAGTGCTATTAATTACAATTCAAAATTAAATTAATAGTAGATTTTGTAGCTGTGGCACTCAAAAAACTGTGTCAAGGTGTCAAGTTTTACAGAATTCATAAAAATGACTATATCTCAAAAACTAACGATTTTTTACTAAGGTCATATTTTGATTTCTGCTTAGTCATGAGTTGGTATATCAGTCCCCCAAAGGATATCGTTGACTTTTGGGACACCATGTATACTTTTTAATTAAACTGATTGAAAAAAGTTAAGGATATTGTAAATTCTCTGAGAAAAAAATAGTTTTCAAAAAAATTTGTATAACGTACATTTACTGTCATCTCTTTTAGAAATAAAACACATTTGTTTAACTGAAAAAATATTTTAATTAAAATTTACAAGCAACTTTTCTCTTACAATGTAACAAAACAGATAATTATTATTAATTATCAAAAAGAAAAAAAATATTAATAGCGTGTAATTCCACCTCTGCTGGCTATTATTGCTTCAACTCGGCGAGGCTTGCTTAAAATTAAATGATCCAAGTCATTTTGATCCAAGTTATCCCCTAAATACGTCCTGAACAGGAGGTTGTTGGGCAGTTGGTGCCCTTCCGAGCATGTCCCAACCATGCTCGATGCAGTTTAAATCTGGAGAGAGCGGGGGTAATGGCAAATGATTAATTTCATGGAATGCTGGCCGTTCTTGTACTACCCTGGCTCTGTGCGGGCGAGCGTTATCATTCAGAAATCTGAAATTGGGCTCCAAATTCCAAGTAGGTACTCTCATTTTTAAAATATATAAATTAATATTTTATAAATTATATACAGTGTGACCCATTTGTTTGCGACTCACCCCTGTAATAGTTATATCTCACGGCTGCTTACGCAAGCGAGCTAACTATAAATAGTCTGTAATGGTATAGCTAAACATAAATTGTTTGGAGTCCCCATCTCCATAGTATATCCTATAGGTTTAACACACTCGACTAGCTAGCCATCATTCGTTACTGAGCAGATGAGTATGGAGTCCATACTCATCTGCTCAGTAACGAATGATGGCTATACTCTATGGGCTAGCTAGTCGAGTGTGTTAAACCTATAGGATATCCCTGCTTAAAATACCCCATAGAGACCTATACAAAATAATCTATCGGGCGCTACCGGATTCTATATGTGCATTTGTCCATGGGTTTTTCCGGATACAGCCCGATAGAAAATGTATAGGAAATTACCTATAGGCACACCATAACTTTTACATTTTCCCTATTGAGACCGATAGAAAATAACTCAATGAAGGATATATAGGGATATCCCTATAGAGCAACTAGCAAATAGGGTATTTATAGGGGTATTTCGATTTAAATCTTGCATAAAAATAGCTTGAAATCAATAAATAGTTTTATTCAATATAGTGAAGTATACTGTAGTAGTACCTACCTTAGATCTTAGATAATATTATTTAAAACTTGGTTTTTTGAATTTTTCACATAAATTTTGAGGTTATGTAAAAAAATTACAAAAGTTGTAGATCCTTTTATTACCTACAACTTTGCCATTTAACTTTTTTCCATAGGACTTGTAGTTTTGCCGGAAATCGAGATAAACCATTTTTTACCCTTAAATCCCCCCCTCCCACTTCCCGAAGTCAGATCGCCCGTAATTTATTTTTCCTTTCATTTTTATTATATTCTTCTCCTTTTCCAATGGGTTTCATCCAGGGTTGCCAATGGTACGGTCCTGACCGTACTTTTACGGTATTTTGATTTAAATTACGGTTTACGGTCCAACCTAAGGACCGTACCCCAAAAGTACGGTATTTTAAGGAAAAAATATCAAAACAGAAACTATTAAATTTTCCATAATTTTATTTAATTAAAGCGATTTAAAAATATTATGATTTTGTCTGACTGTAGCGCCATCTCTAGGGCATTTAATGATTAAATGCCCTAGAGATGGCGCTAAATTTTAATCTACATATAGTAGTGTTCTGTAAATTATAACTTCTTTCTTCCCAGTTTCTAATAACTGCCGCTACTAGCGGCCCGCTAGTGTTAAACTCATATCAAACTTGTTTCGCGGTATTCCCAGCGTTCGTTTATTTCTGAAGTAAAGTTATAATTTGTTATTAAAAACCGATTGAAACATGTCCAGTGATAGTGATGATAGTACTACTAGCAAGGTTTGTCCTAGCAAAAAAAATCCGGGCATAAGAAACAGGTAAATAGGTTTGGACTAAATATTTATAAATATTTTTATAAACGTTTGTTGATTTGATATAGAAATTTCGGCAGGAATGGCTTAAAAATCCAGATTACCAAGCATGGTTGTGACCAGTAGAAGATTATATAATTATGAATTGGAATTGTGATTTTGAAAATTTTAAAATCACAATAGTTGTGATTTTGAATTTTCAAAATCACAATTTCAATTCATAATCATCATAATAATTATTATTATAAATTATGATAATTATGAATTATAATTCATACATTCAATACATTTTTTATTTTATCTATATATTTAATAAATATTATTTATGGTTTTGTGAACAAATTTTACAAAATTAAATATTTTAAAAATTATGCTTGTTTTGCTGACGTCATATGTGAAAATGCGAAAGTACGGTCCTGTTTTGAAAAGTACGGTCATTTTTTAGCTGCCGGTACGGTTTTGTTATTTACTACAGTTGGCAACCCTGGTTTCATCCTACTGTTATTTTTTTTTGGTTTCAAAAATTATTGACCCTGGTCTATGTGTGCATTTCAACAATTAAGCGGTTTTCCACGATTAAGTGCGTACAGAGACAATTCTAGTACGTTTATGTTTATATGGTTTAATACGGAAGTTTAATATTATTTAAAGTATAAATAATAACGCATTTATTTAATTATAATTAAATTGTTAACAAAAATACCCAGTTTTGGGTAGGTAAATAAAATTTGGGTATTTACCCAAATTTTATTTACCTACCCACTGGGTATTTACCCTATCTACATCACTAAGAGCAACCATAAAACATTTGACAAAATTTTATTAAAACCTATAGGGTCCTATAGGGAAAAATCTAATTTCTACATTTATGTGTATTTTCCCCATTGAAACCGATAGCAAATAAATCAATGGTGGATATCCCTATAGAACAACCATAAATCTCAACTACGGGTCCTATACAAACCGATACACCCTATAGAAACACCATACATCCCGATACAAATATCTATCGGTTTGAACAGGGTCTCTATGGGGTATTTTTTGAATGTCCAGGCGGTTTTGGCCGGCACTCGGCCAACTATACACAGCCGACACTCGGCCGAGTAAACATAGCCGACATTAGCTGGCCATACACAGGCCGCCTGTGTATAGCCAGCTAATGTCGGCATGACAGGCGTTATTTCGCGCGGTTTATCGTGGCGTGTTGGGATGTAGCGGTTAGTATGCACGAAAGAACGGCATGGCAAAAAAAGCGTCATGTTCCATACACTTGATAAAGTATTCAAATGATTTAGCAAGTGATTGCCCGTGGTATATCAGTTTCAAAGGAAAAATCGTATGTGAGTGGGCAAAAAGTGTCATTTATCGAGTCCTTTGAAACTGCATGTGATCATGTACAAATTTTCAACGTGAAATTTTGCCAAGCAAAGGTAAACCGTGACGCGGAATGTGGCGTGTGGACACTCCACACTCCAGAGGAAAGCACGTCTGAAATTCCTTCCCGTTCTATCATTGCACGCGGCGATACTCACTCACGTACATGATTTTCCATATGTTTTTGCAGATAACACGATAAACCGCGCGCAATAACGTCTGTGTATGGCCAGCTATTCGGCTTATTCAATTATCAGAAATAGAATATTGACAATTGCATTAAATTAATGCCATTAATACAAGTAGGCGTTGACAGTTATTTCGCGCGCGCGTGTGATCCTCGAAGTACGGTTCTTTATTTTCAAAAAATTACTCCAAAACGAAAAAAGATAGACTTGTGCCGTTTTTACCAAAGTATCAAGCCATCAAGAAATATTTCTTATGATATCATATGATAAAAAATATTTTTTCAAGTTATATACTTTGTGTTGTTAAAATTACGTTTTTTGCCTCGAAATGGTAACAATTGTTTTAAACCTTTGGATAACGTTTGTTATTGTTCTAATTGACTGAATAAAACTATCCGGATATTTAACTGAGAATAGGTCTCTTGTTTGAAGTAGAGAATTGTCCACTAAAGATCAGCTTATGTCAATTTTCTCTTGCAATGTGTAGGACATATAACTTATAATTTTAAATAGAAAAAATTAATTTATGTTAAAACGCTGGAAATACACAGTAGGGCCATTCCACGCGTAACGGATAGGACAGTTGCCGTGTTTTTATTTACAAAATAATATTGTTCTATTATATTACCAATGTAAATTTTTTTAAATAGTTCTAAACTATAGTTATAAAGCTGTTTAACAAGGTTTTTATTTGGCAAAATTAGGTATCGTGGTTGACTGTTTAATTCCTTAAAAACTAATAATTTAAAGCGTAACGGACGGGACTTTGTAATAGTCCCGTCCGTTACGCTTTAAATTATTAGTTTTTAAGGACCCGGACAACATTCGTGATATCATACGGAAGTCACCGCGTGATAAATGAAAATCATACGAACGTCACGTCGTGATTTTCACAAATTTTATTCATACGGACATCATCCGGATGTCACTGCGTGAGAAATAAAAATCATGTCGTGATTTTTTATGCCATGGCTGTTTGCGAATGACCGATGGCACAAAAAATCATGTCGTGATTTTTTATGCCAAGGGTGTTTGGATAATCATTTTTGCGCCACGTTCGTAACCAAGAGAAAAATTATGTTAAATTAACAGTTTTTGCGGTTAAATACATTTAATATTTTCTTGGATTTAAATTACTTTTTCTTTCAATGTACGAATGTGTCGCAAAATTGAATATCCAAACACCGATGGCATAAAAAATCATGTCGTGGTTTTTTATGCCAATGGATATTTAGTTTTGCGCCACATTCGTACATTGAGAGAAAAAGTATACCTATATATATATATATATATATATATATATATATAAATATGTATATATATATATATATATATATTTAATATATACATACATATATGTATATTAAATCAACAGTTTTTGTGGTTAAATACATTCAATATTTTACTTTCAATTTACGAATGTGGCGCAAAAATAAATATCCAAACATGTCACCGATGGCATAAAAAATCATGTCGTGATTTTTTATGCCATCGCAGTTTGGATAATCATTTTTGCGACACATTCGTACATTGAAAGAAAAAGTATGTTAACAATTGAATCAACAATTTATCATTCAATATTTTCTTGGATTTAAATTAACTATATATAGTTAATTTAAATCCAAGAAAATATTGAATGTATTTAACCACAAAAACTGTTGATTCAATATATATGTAGGTATACTTTTTCTCTCAATGTACGAATGTGGCGCAAAAATAAATATCCAAACACCGATGGCATAAAAAATCACGACATGATTTTTTATGCTATCGGTGTTTGGGCATAAAAAATCACGACATGATTTTTTATGCCATCGGTGACATGTTTGGATATTTATTTTTGCGCCACATTCGTAAATTGAAAGTAAAATATTGAATGTATTTAACCACAAAAACTGTTGATTTAATATACATATATGTATATTAAATATATATATATATATATATATATATATATATATATATAATATACATTCGTACATTGAGAGAAAAAGTATACCTATAGGTATACTTTTTCTCTCAATGTACGAATGTGGCGCAAAACTAAATATCCATTGGCATAAAAAACCACGACATGATTTTTTATGCCATCGGTGTTTGGATATTCAATTTTGCGACACATTCGTACATTGAAAGAAAAAGTAATTTAAATCCAAGAAAATATTAAATGTATTTAACCGCAAAAACTGTTAATTTAACATAATTTTTCTCTTGGTTACGAACGTGGCGCAAAAATGATTATCCAAACACCCTTGGCATAAAAAATCGGTCATTCGCAAACAGCCATGGCATAAAAAATCACGACATGATTTTTATTTCTCACGCAGTGACATCCGGATGATGTCCGTATGAATAAAATTTGTGAAAATCACGACGTGACGTTCGTATGATTTTCATTTATCACGCGGTGACTTCCGTATGATATCACGAATGTTGTCCGGGTCCTTAAAAACTAATAATTTAAAGCGTAACGGACGGGACTATTACAAAGTCCCGTCCGTTACGCTTTAAATTATTAGTTTTTAAGGAATTAAACAGTCAACCACGATACCTAATTTTGCCAAATAAAAACCTTGTTAAACAGCTTTATAACTATAGTTTAGAACTATTTAAAAAAATTAACATTGGTAATATAATAGAACAATATTATTTTGTAAATAAAAACACGGCAACTGTCCTATCAGTTAAGCGTGGAATGGCCCAGTAGCAAATGCTATAATAAATTTAAATATACAAAATTAATTTATGTTAAAACGCTGGAAATACACAGTAGCAAATGCAAAACAAAACTGAATCCTCGCCTACGCCGGCAATCTGCTTACAATGCATCTGGGGAGGGGCGATCGGATTCACTCAGGTTCACTTGTATAGCTCCCTCTCTCCTTCTCTCTACGTTACCTTTTTTTTCTCTCTGGTGTAACGAAATCTCGAAACGTTACATTTTTTCCAATTCACTCTCCATTCTCGTCAAATATCAGAACGCCACCAAAGAAGTTTCACTTCAAAAATAAAATAAAAATTGTGTTTATGTGTATTTCTTAAAAACTAGAACAAATGTTTATATATTTAAACTAACCCCTCCTACAACTAAGGAGTTATAGAAAAAAGAAGACATGTTATCCATCCATGATGTTATTATTGTGTGGCGTTTTCAGGAACCCTATGTAACTTAATATTTAACTTGCCTATTATAATTGCTCACATTTTTTTATAAATATATTTACCTATAGGTTTCATTTAAAAATATTGAATAATTTTACATTTTAGTTATAGATTAATAAATAAAAGATATTAACATACTGTTTTATTTATTTTACTGCTATTATTTTTTAATTTATGTACAACAAAAAAATTCTTCCCATAAGCACTAGAAAAAGCTATAATTAAATATTACTAACAGTTTTTGTTTGGGCTAATATTATAGTTAAGTGTGGCATTTAAATCCTTTTCACAGTTTGAATAAGCCATTCCTACACCAAAACCACCTCCCATAAGAACTGGCCACCTTCTTTTTTTAAAAAATAAAATAGAAAATATTGATCCTAGAACTATTCCTCCACCTATAAAAAATAGGTTATGATTATGATGTAATAGCTATAAAATTAACAATTTGTCCATATAAAGTTTATTAAATAGTAATGGTACCTCCTAACTTAATAAATAAAATCTTACCAAATTTAAGTGCAGCATCAGATAGACATCTATCCCATTTTCGGCCAAGTTCTTCTTCGACATAAACTGGAGTCGCCATTTTCTTCTTAGATTCCTTTACAATACTACAAATGATTAGGGTTTAATTATGTATTTTTAATTTTGGCACCCCAATAGCAGTATATTAACTTGTTTGTTAAATAAGTTGTTATTTTCTGGAAGCAAAATCCTAGTTTGACATTTTTGACATGATGAATTCTTAATAAAAAAAATTAAGTTGGGCTCATTTTGTGTTAAAAATTTATCTTTCAATTTTGACTTTTTTGACAATAAAATAATCTTACCCCTAAAAGTTAACCTATCACCATTAAATGTCTTTTTACCAAATCAGTGACACCACCATAAAATTATTAAAACTTTTATCATATCACAATATTACCAATGGTAAAATTAAAAATATTTTATGAACAAATACATATGGTCGACTTGCAAAACTTTATAAACAAATTTTTAAATCTATTTTAGGACAGCTGTTCAATAAAAATTCTGTAGTGATAGATACATTGAACTTTTTGGTAGAGCATACATGATGTATGTATGATACATCAAAATTTTTTATTTAAAAATTTTCGGTCTGGTGAGCTTCGAAGGTCATGCGAGATTCGGTCCAGTGAGTTTCGGTGCAACGAGCTGACCCCCAAAAAGCAACATCATGAGCTGGCCAAATAGCTTTCAAATTAGAAAATTTGAAGAAGAATACATGTGAAAGTGACCATATGCAAGGAATGCGGTCGATGTTGTCAATGGTAAAAAAATAAAATTCCCTATTGGGAACATTCAATTATATTACGTTGGCTACACTGAAATTTTGAATTTCCCGCAGAAACTGACATACATTCTAGTAGTTCCCAGAGATAAAGAAGGTAGTTCCAATGTTGTATAATAAATTAAGGTGCGAATTTCAAATGTGGGAATTATTATTATTTATTATTATTAAAAAAAAAACATGAAAATTATTTTAGTTTGTGCGGGAAATTCAAATTTTCAATGTAGCCAACGTAATATAATTGAATGTTCCCAACAGGGAATTTTATTTCGACTTGTCTAATCGTCCGATCATCGGATGAATAAAATATATTAATCGTCCGATCATCGGATGAATAAAATATATTAATCGTCCGATCATCGGATGAATAAAATATATTAATCGTCCGATCATCGGATGAATAAAATATATTAATCGTCCGGTAATAACATAACGTTAGTTACGTCATAATTATAATCCGTTTTTGTTCACCGACCGTTTAATATTTGACAACAAGCTAGATAGCTTATATGGTAGGGCGTTCGCTTGTCATGCGAGAGGTCCCGGGTTCGATACTAAGAAGCTGTCGAATTTTTTTTATTTTTTTATTTCATAAATTTGTTGTTTCTTTGTTAAACAGTGTTCGGTTGGGTTGGGTTGGTTGGTTTGTTTTAGTTTTATCGTAACATAAAATCTACTAGAAGTTGTCGAACTTTTTTTATTTCATAAATTTGTTGTTGCTTTGTTAAAAAGTGTTTTATTTTTATCGTAACATAAATTTGCCCATTTTAGTTGGGTTTTTTGTTCAATGGGGCGGGGGGGGCTCAATGGGGCGGGTTCGGTTGGGTTGTGTTGTTGAGTTTGAGTCCGATAATCTTTTTATTATTTATTTATGTTATTACCGGACGATTAATATATTTTATTCATCCGATAATCGGACGATTAATATATTTTATTCGTCCGATTATACGGACGACTAGCGATCGGACGATTAATATATTTTATTCGTCCGATTATACGGACGATTAATATATTTTATTCGTCCGATTATACGGACGACTAGCAATCGGATGATTAATATATTTTATTCGTCCGATTATACGGACGATTAATATATTTTATTCGTCCGATTATACGGACGACTAGCAACGGCCATTTTATTTTTTTACCATTGGCAACATCGACCGCATTCCTTGCATATGGTCAATTTATCCAAATTGTTGGTAACCATGGTTGGTAAAACTGTAATTAGTGACTTAGCAGGCCACGTATTTATTTGTAAACGTCAACTGGTTAGATTTTAAAATTACATTAAATGTTCTTAACAGTTTTTAAAGATAAAATTATTAACTAACATTTGTTGAGTCTATTTAAAAAGATATCTCTTTAAACTACCTGTTTTAATTATTAAAACAAGAAATGTTAACCAAATTTGAAACGAAGTCTGCAAGGGTGAAAGGTTTATCCTTTCATCCCAAACGGCCGTGGATTTTAGCCAGTTTGCATAATGGATGTATTCAATTATGGGATTACCGTATGTGTACATTGCTGGAAAAATTTGATGAACATGATGGTCCTGTCAGAGGTATTTGCTTCCACAATCAACAACCTCTTTTTGTATCAGGCGGGGATGATTATAAAATTAAGGTTTGGAATTACAAACAAAAACGGTGTATATTTACTCTATTAGGTCATTTGGATTATATCAGAACCACAATGTTTCATCATGAGTATCCTTGGATTGTGTCATCTTCTGATGATCAAACTATAAGAATTTGGAATTGGCAAAGTCGTACTTGTATATGTGTATTGACAGGTCACAATCATTATGTAATGTGTGCCACATTCCATCAAACTGAAGACCTGCTTGTATCAGCATCCTTAGATTCAACTGTCAGAGTTTGGGACATATCTGGTTTGCGCAAAAAAAATGTTGCACCTGGTCCTACTGGATTGGAGGACCATTTAAAAAATCCTGGTGCAACAGATTTATTTGGTCAAGCTGATGCTGTTGTTAAACATGTTTTGGAGGGCCATGATCGAGGTGTTAATTGGGCATCTTTTCATCCCACATTGCCTTTAATTGTATCAGGTGCTGATGATAGACAAATTAAATTATGGAGAATGAATGATTCTAAAGCATGGGAAATTGATACATGTAGAGGGCACTACAACAATGTTTCCTGTGTATTATTTCATCCCAGACAAGAATTGATGCTTTCAAATAGTGAAGATAAAAGTATAAGGGTTTGGGATATGACCAAAAGAACCTGTTTGCATACTTTTAGAAGAGAACATGAAAGATTTTGGGTAATGACCTCACATCCAAACTTAAACTTATTTGCTGCAGGCCATGATTCTGGCATGGTTATATTTAAATTGGAAAGGGAACGTCCAGCCTATACTGTGCATGGAAATTTATTGTACTATGTTAAAGAAAGATATTTAAGAAAACTGGACTTTAATACTGCTAAAGATGTTGCAGTTATACAAATTCGAGGGGGAGGCAAAGTTCCAGTTTTCAAAATGTCTTTCAATCCAGCAGAAAATGCAGTATTACTTTCAAACAGGCTTTCCAATTTGGATAATAGTACCTATGATTTGTATACTATTCCCAAAGACTTGGAACGTGATGATGTGGTTCCAGAAGTTGAAAGTAAAAGATCTTCTGGACTAACTGCTCTTTGGGTGGCAAGAAATAGGTTTGCTGTTCTTGATAGATCCCATCAATTAATTATCAAAAATTTGAAAAATGAAGTAACAAAAAAAGTCCAAACACCTGCTTGTGATGAGGTGTTCTATGCTGGAACTGGAATGCTATTACTTAGAGATGCAGAACATGTTACTTTATTTGATGTTCAACAAAAAAGAACATTAGCACAAGGTAAACATATTTAACCAGGTTTTTATAAATTAATTTTTATAATATAATAATTTATTATATTTATTTAATTTTTAAAATTGAAAATAAATTTGATCTTGTAGAGCCAAGAAAAGCCAAAAAATTTTGTAAACTAAAAATGTAGGGGGGATTGTCCCCTACAATACCTATATGTCATTGGGGCAAATGCTCTTGTATGAAAAATTCAAAAAGTAGGTGACATTACAGTACCTAAAACAGCGTTTTATTAATTTAAAAATGTATTAATAATAAACGTTAATTTTAATGGCCTTGTTCCAAACGCGAAGTTTTGTAACAGGAACATTATTGTCTCATTGTCAATTTAAATTTAATACATAATCTGTTTGCAAACTTCAGTGCCATGTTAAAATTATAAGAAACATTTTAATTAAGCAATCATTTTAATTACAATTATTTTAGTGAATGAATTAAAATTATCAACAAACATGTGAATTCACGTAAGATTTTAATTAAACATACATTTTAATTCCTTTTATTTTAGTGAAAAAATTTCAAGTATTAACAAACATTCACAATAAATTATTATTTATGTTAAAAAATGTTGCACACTTAAATTGTTTGATAAAATAAAATGTGTCTTTATAATTAAATTTAATTAAATTAAGAGTTTTTAATAATGAATTATAATTAAAAAAATTTAATTTATAAAAAAAAGTAATTCAACAAAAAAATGTAGTAGTAAATGGCTGCGTTCTTTTTCACTTAGTTTAAATCGGTAAAATTTGCAAATGTGCGCATTCTTTTTGCTTCACTCAGTTCAAAGTGAGCTGAGATTATTGATCTCACTCACCAATACTGCCTATGCTGTGGCCCCCAGTTTAAATTGAGTAAAAAATTAAGTGAAGGAGATAAAGATATTACTGGGTTTGTTTACGTTTTTAAAATAACATTACATATTAGTGTGTTATCCAAAATTGAATGCAAATTCAAACAAACCACACTGCTTTTTTCGATTGAGTAAACTGCAAATGTATCTTTCTTTTTTATACTTACACACATCAATGCATCTCAGGTTTGAAGTGAGTTAAGATCTCAGTCAAACACATCTAATATCTTTATTAAAATATCTCAAAGGCTTACTTTTTTAGTTAAAATCAACAAATGTCGATATGTTGTTTGGTCTGCAGATATGAACTACATCTCATTACTTGCAAAACATACAGTTACAGTATGCAACAGAAAATTGGATGTGTTGTGTTCTTTACATGAAAATACTAGAGTTAAATCTGGAGCATGGGATGACTCTGGCGTATTTATATACACCACAAGTAACCACATTAAATATACATTAACAAATGGGTAAGCAGTTAATAATATTTATTAAAATATCAATTATAATTACTTACATTGTTATGTACAAAACTAAAGCAGTTTGTCACCAATGGGGTTAAGAAAATCACTAAAAACAACCATACGGTATGTCCATACCGTTAAAAAACTGAATCGATAAATTATCTCGGTAGCGGGAACAAGTTTACAAAACAAGCGACAAAGAAGTTTTGCAATGGACGAGGGCGAGAAAACTTCTTTATACTATTTTTTCTACTCCTATAGGAGTATAGGGTATACCCTTAAAACACACAATCAGGCCAATTCACTAACATTAGTCGTTAACACGTTAACACTATCAATCAGGCCAATCTGGCAGATTAATTATTACACTAATTCTAGTGGCTTACGTTAATGTCTTATGTTAGTGAATTAGCCTGATTATCGTATGTTTCCATGAAAAGTGATCTTTTAAATACACATTCCCAGATAGCCAAATAAAGCAAAAATAAAGTAAAAATTGAGATATGCAATTGTTTTGTTCTGCACGTAGTTGCGTACCCATAATAAAGTTTTTATTGGGTAATCGAATAATTCAAGGTAAAAAAGGAACATTATGCCAATAATAACTTGTTAATATCTTAAGAAATACATAATATATGGGGCAGTCCACGCCAAATCGGCCAAGAGTTAGACTTCATGTTTCCGATTTGCTTCAAATTTTCAGGGTCGATAAAATAACTAAAGTAATGAAGAAATCTAAAATTTCAACATCTTTTATGCATTTTTGTAGGTTTTACAAAATAAACAAAAAAAAAATTTCACTTCTCTTATCTTTCGATTATTTAAAAACCCGAAAGACAAACAATTTCGAAAAAAATCATATAAACATATTTTTTGACGCTCTTTAAGATAAAATAAAAATTAAATAATAAAATGAAATAAAAATTTGTTCAAAAATTATCAAAAAAAATCTAATTTTTTTATTAAAATATAAATTTCCAAAAAACGCCACCTCAAATTTAAACCAAAAAAATCATGATGATAGCCGTAAGTTTTCCGCAAATTTTGACTACTTATTTTTGGGGGGACTGAAAAACTGTTATGAATTTTTTTGTAAAGAAATGCATGTCAAATCGTCGCTACAGATCCAAGCCTACGCGTTAATAAACAAAACAATCAAATTAAAATATCGTCGATGGTTTAGCAATAACTTCTATGTGCAAATTAAAACTTTTTAACCGACTTAAGAAACATATTAAAAAACGTACTATTACAATAACAATATTTTAGTTTAATTAGGTATTTTTCTAGTTACCTACTCTTCTAGCTCTCTTTAAAAAAATTTAAGAAAACATAGGTTTTTATTTTAACGAAGAAGGAAAAAGTAATAATAATTATTAATATTCTATGATAAAATTTTTACTAATAAATTCTTTGACAAATATTGTTCAGTTCACAGTTTTTATTAATAATAATAATAAACATCTTTATTGGTTTCCCAACAGGCTATCGACCGTGGTCTTTCTGCCCAATTTACAAAAAAAAAAAATAAATATAATAATTGAGGGGCCTAGAAGTAAAAGGGTTTAAGTGCATTTTTGTTAGTTCTGAGATAAATGGCTTTAAAGTTAACTTGAATTTTAAAATTCTAGAAAAGAGTTTAAAAAACTGTGTGAATATTTTAGTTTTGTTAAAGACAAAAGGATTATAAAGAAAAAGGAATTTTGCAATTTCGCTTTTTTGTTAATTTTTTTTACAAAAAGGTACTTGAATCGTAATGCATGTAAGACAAAATTTAGTGGTAAAATGATTTAAATGCAATTACTGTACTAGAACAAAACTTTATTTTTTAAAATTTGGGTAAGTTTTACAACAAAAAGTATTATTCATAATCAGAATCTAATACAATCTAATAATATTGGGGTTAATCTAAATTGGATTTTTTTTTGGCTCAATGCTATGGTCTAAGTTTGTTTCTTTTTTTCCTTTTTTTTATGATGGAAATTCATTGTGCTCTATGTTTTTATAAAATAAGTGGTAAATTGGCGGAATATAGTCCAATAAGGTAAGTAAATTTTTGCGCTTAGCGGCTTTGTTTTCTTTTTTTAGTTTTTGCTGGAGTTATATGGCCTTTTTCTTCTACTTCTTCATTGATGTCAGGAATATAGTTACAATGTTGAATCCTCATCAGTCTGGACCGATCGTAACGCTGGCCGATGTCGTTCCGACCCCGGTCACAATATGTCGAAACGAGCTACTTTTCAAGGCTTTAGTAGCATAGATAATAGTCTAAGTTTAGCAGTAAAAGGTGCACTTAAAACGTTTTACCAAAGATATATTTTAAAATATTTTGACAGGTTTTTAAAGACGATAAGAAATCCGGGAATGTAAAATGTACTTTTATAATTTTACCACTAAGTTAGAATATTCTTTAGGTGTGATATTCTGCACTTAGACCATTTATTTAAAAAAGTGCACTTGAACCGTTTTACTTCCAAGCCCCTCAATTGTTAATTGTAGTTACAATATTGAATTTATAAAAAAAAGTAATAAAAACATATAAATCTCAAATATTTTAGTCTTCGTTAGTGATGTCCATGATTATCTCCCATAAAGTTTGTGTAGGATATTTCCTTTTGGGGGGCAGGTTATGGTCTCTACCGTGCACTAAGTTTTCCATAATTTGTATATTGTGGTGTTTTTTTGCAAATTGGCATGCCAGCTCCTTGAAATGTTCCAAAATGGGGGTGACCTGCGTTGTTTCGTATAGCTGTTGATTTGATGGATTATGAAGTGGATTATCTGGGTGTCTCATTTTGGTGATTTGTTGCCTTTTAGATTGTTTGTTTGAACATTCGAAGTTAGAATAAGCAGTGGATGGATTGTGGAAGAATTTTTTTTTTAAACCAAATTGATGGGGTGGAATCTAGTCGTCTAGTTCTTCTTCTAATCTTATTTTAATGATTTTTTCTAAGTTTTTTCCAATGACTGGTAGTAAAGTAATTGGGCGAAAGTTGGTTGTTTTTGTCAGATCGCAATTCGGTTTAGGAATGTTTATTATAAATCCTTTTTTAAATTCTTGTGGATAGTATCGGCTTTTAATACAGTAATTATATCTAAAACTTTTCCATGGAATTCAGCACATAAGTTTTTAAGAGTCTTTTTATAGATATTGTCATAACCTGGTGCTGTATTTTTGCCGGTATTTAGTACATGATAATATTCCTCTTCAGTAACTTCAGGCACTTCTCCAGGGTCGGTATGGTCGTTAAAGAACAACTCGTACCAGTCATTTATTTCTTTGAAGCTTTGATCATCAAAGTTTATATCTTCCGACATTTCATATATTTTCTTGTAATGTCTGCCAAAAGCACCTGCCACATCCTGGTCCTCATTGAGCACAACATTATTTTCTACAATTTCAACATTTTTATGAGTGTTCTTTTTGTAACTTGAAAGTTTTTTTATTTCTTGCCAATAGTTTTTGCCTTTTAAGTTACTTATATTCTTGCATGCTTCAAGATTTTAGGTTTTGATATATATATATATTTGTGGATTTCTCTAAGCATTTGTCTTTTTGTTCTTAATAATCTTAGTATGAAAGGAGGTAGTACTTGATTGTAAAAAGTTTTTGGTTTTTTAGGGGAGTTATCCAGAATCTTTTGGCAGGTAAAGTTGGGAATTGTGTAATTATTGTTGGGTCTAAGTTTTGCATGCTTTTTATATAATCGGTTCATTGTATATTTAGGTTTTTTTTTCTAGGTTGCATTTGTTAAAATCGTATATCATTTCAGGAGAGGTATTTATTTTTGTTTGCAGGTTAAATGTTATTTCAATTGATTTGTGGTCTGAACATAAATCCGGAATAATATTTATTTTTTTTATATTATTTTTTATGTTATCTGTACATAATATTAAGTCTGGTGTTGTACTTGCGTTGTTTGTCATGATAAATGTAAGGGGAGTATCGATTTTAACAAAATTTGAGTTTTTAAGAAAATGTTGTAGTTGTTTATTTTTGTGAGTATTAGGATTAAAATCTCCAATGATAACGCAATATTTATAAAGTGCAGCTTTTATAAATACGGTACTATCAATTATCTCATTTGGATGAATGTATAAAAGAAGTACATGCAATTTTTCATTTTGATACGGTAGTGTAAAATGTAAGCATTCATTTTTTATATTTTTAATTTTTGGTGGATTGGCTTTGCCAAGATTAATTTCCGCCCTCGTTTGAACCATGCTTCCCCCTCTTAAGTTTTCATTAAAGATATTACCTGGTTTTTGTATTGATTTCCATTGTGATGTTAACGGTATTATATTTTTGAGTTTTGTTTGCACAATCGATATTATTTTTGTGTAAGTAATGACTTATTAAACTTTTTTTTAGCTAGGTAGCTGTTTATATTCGTGTAGCGTATTTTTATTGAAAAAAAAAAATAGATTTTTGTAAGAATTTTTGAACAATTTTTTTTAAATAGGTATTCGAAAAATAAGAGAAGTGACATTTTTTTGGTTTATTATGTAAAACCTACAAAAATGCATAAAAGAGGTTGAAATTTTAGATTTCTCCATTACTTTAGTTCGTCTATCGACCCTGAAAATTTGAAGCTAATTGGAAACATGAAGTTTTTCTCTTGGCCGATTTGGCGTGGACTGCACCAGTATATGTATTTATATATGATGCAAAAATTGTGTTATGATTGGGATATGTGAACTAAGTTTCTATTAAAAAAGTAAATGAATTTAATTGGAATTACCATTTTTTTTAAGTAAAAAAAAATATGTTTTTTAACGTTACACTGTATGGAGGTGAAAATATTACAGCTAAACGCTCGGACACGTAAACTTAATTTTTATTCTTAGATTTTTTTCAAATCAAATCCAATCGTTTATTTTCCAAAACATACATTTTACTAAGGGTTATTTTATATATTATAATACGATAATAAATTAATATAATAAAATAATAATATAATATAATTATAGTTTTATACTAAGTTAAGGTTTAGTAATTTAAATAT